TTGGTTTCCTGGTGATCTGAAGGCCATTCCATCTGTTTCCGTCCTGGGTTCGGACCTGGGCCTTGGTCGTCGTGGCTTGCAGACTGCCCCTTGTTTTCGTTGGATGCTTGGGACTCGTTCTGTCGAACTTGCACGTTTGAGTGGCGTGAGGCGTTGACGGTGGTCCAGGTTTACCTGGGGAGCGATTTTGAGCACCTTAATGAGTGTCTTTTCGCTCCTGCCCTTCTGCGGGATATTGGTGCGGTGCAGCTCCATGTGCAGGTTCCTTCCCTGTCGGTTGCTCTTGTGGCGGAGGATTTGTGCGCTCGTGGCTTTTTGGCTTTGGTCCTGCGTTTCTTTTCCCTCCTGGAGCTATCTTCGGATTGCCTTGTGGGGGATGTTGAGGCGCTTGGGGCCGTTCCGGGGTCTGACGCCTTGGTCTCCACTGCTCGGGCGTCGTCTGCCATGTTGAAGCTTTTTGCGCCGATCCTGCGGGAGGCATTGCTGCGGTTTTTCACTGCGCGCTTCACATCTTGTCAGGCGGTCCTTGCTTCCTCTTTGGAATCCGTTTTGGCCCTGGTTCTTAGGTTGTCTTCTCCCATTTGTCCTCTGCTTTTTAAGGCTTCTGCGGTTGAGCGTTATGTTCAGGCGGCTTCTTCCTCTTGCCGCCCTATGTCTGAGTTGTTGGTTTTCCAGAGATACCGGGGGGTTCCTTCCCGGCTGGGCCGTACCAGGGCGTGTGATTCCGTTCGTCGGGGTTGGCCACAGGTGTTGGGTTCGGTGCCAGTGCTGCCTACGGTCCCACCTGTGCCTGGTCGGCGCGGTGTTCGTTCTGCGTGCAGGTTGGGTTCTCGTAAGAGGCAGCAGCCCTTTCACAGTTCGCCCCATTGAGGGGGCGATGGGGGGGGAGGCTGTCTCTGTTCGCTCACGCCTGGTCTCACAATTTGTGGGCTTTTCGGGTCGTTTCTCGCGGCCTGCGGTGGCGTTGGGTGGCTCCTCCTCCTGCAGGGGGCTCGGGGCTGACGGGGCAGGCTTCCTCTCCTGCGCTCCGTCGGGTCATCTTTGAGTGGGTGCGCTTGGGCGTGGTCAAAACGACTCCGTCCCTCAGGTGGGTTTCCCGCCTGTTTCCAGTTCCGAAACGGGACTGTGCGGACCTGCGGTTCATTCTGGACTTGTCCCGTCTGAACCCTTGGGTTTCTTGCCTGTCGTTTCGGATGACCACTCTGTCCCAGGTCCGACTTCTGTTGGCGCCGGGCGCTTGGATGGTGTCCCTGGACCTCAAGGACACGTATTGGCACGTCCCTATTCATGTGGGTTCCGGGACTGGCTCGGTTTTGTTGTGGGGCGTCAGTGCTACCGCTTTCGTTGTCTCCCCTTCGGGTTGAACCTGGCACCTCGCGTGTTCACACCCCTTACCCGGGTCGTGGTGGCCCGTCTGCGTCTGTTAGGTGTTCAGGTGTTGGCTTACCTCGATGCCTGGCTGGTTTGGGCTCACAGTCGGTCCGCGTGTCTGCTTGCCAGGGATTTGGTGCTTTCCCAGCTCGCCGGGTTCGGGTTCCTGGTGAACTGGCGTAAGTCCCATCTGGTGCCCTCCCAGGTTCGGTCCTGGCTGGGTGTTGTGTGGGACTCTCGGACCGCTTTCTTGTCTCTCCCTCCGGAGTCTCTCCCTCGGCTGCGGTCTCACCTATGTCTGTTTCTGGGGGGCTCCCAGGTCACCCAGCGATTGCTCGAGGGTTTGTGTGGCAGCCTGAACTTCGCGATGTTGGTCTACCCACCGGGTTGAGTTTGGCTTCGTCGGCTGTTCTGGTTCCTTCGGGGACGTCCCTTCTGCCTCTCTCGCGATCGCTGGGTTCGAACCCTGGGGGCTATGTGTCAGCTGCTGCGTAGCCGGTTTCCTTTTTCGTTTTTTTTCGGAGTTCGGTGCCTTGGCACTTGTCTGAGCCCTCACTTGATGTGTTCACGTACACATCATCTCCTGGCTGGGGCTTTGTGACCAGTGCTCGCCAGGTCGTCCAGGGGCGGTGGGGTCCATCCTTCTGTCGGGTTCACAGCACGGTGTGGGAGTTCGCAGCGGTATGGTTTGCGCTTCGGAGGGTTCGGGTCGCCCGCGGATCAACGATCCGGCTCCATTCGGACTGCTCCCCGGTGGTTCATTGTCTGAACTGAGGGGGTTCAATGCGGTCCTTGGCTCTTTGGGGTTGGTCGCTTCGGGTGACTCATCTGCTGAGTTCTCGGGGTTTGGCTCTCCTGGCGGTTCACGTCCGGGGGGTGTCCAATGTCCTGGCAGATGGCCTGTCCAGGTTTGTTCCCCTGTCCACGGAATGGACGGTCGATGCCGGCTCCTTCCGTTGGCTCTGCCGGACGTTCGGGCGCCCGGAGGTGGACGTCTTCGCTTCGGCGTGGTCGAGGCGTCTTCCGGTTTACGTGGCGCGCACCTTTCCCCAACTGCGAGGCCGTCAAGATCGACGCTTTTCGGCAGGACTAGTCGAGGTGGGGGTTCCTGTACCTCTTTCCCCCGGTTCAGCTGCTGCTCCAGGTCATTTCTCGCTTGGAGGCTTACCAGGGTCGAGTGGTCCTCTTGGCCCCTTGGTGGCCGGCCCAGCCGTGGTTTCAGGTGCTGCTTGGCCATTGTTCGAACCTGGAGGTTTTTCCACGGCTCCGCCTCTTTCAGGAGATCGGGCCGGTCCGGTATGTGACAGGTTCGCTCTTCTCCACGAGTCTTCACGTTTGGTGTTTTTGACTCGTGTTTATCACCATCTTTATGGTGAGCAGGTGGCTTCCTTGTTGGTTTCTCACCTGCGAGTTTCCTCTCGGCGGCAGTATGAAGTTTCCTGGCGGTCCTTCCGGTTCTTTTTGACCCTTCGTCGTTATTCCTCGCTTTTGGTTCAGGTGGTGTTGTCCTTTCTCTCTTGGTTGTTTCAGGACCGTCATCTGATGCCTAATACTATCGCCTCGAATCGTGCGGCGCTGGCGGAGCCGCTACAGCTTGCTTTCGGTATTGATGTTACTTCTGCGCCGTTTCACAAGCTGTCTTGGGCGTTGTTTCACCTCCGGCCTGCTCATCCTCGGTTTGTTGTGGCCCCTTCAGTTCAAGATTGTTTTGCTAAGGCTCTTTTTCTGTTGGCATTAGCCTCTGGGGGTCGCGTGGCAGAGCTTCATGCTCTTCTCCAGCGCAGAGGTTTTTGCTCCTTTGGTCGTGGTCTTCGGTTTGTTCATTTGCAGCCGTCTCCCTCTTTTCTGGCGAAGAATGAGACTGCTGCTTTCCGGAGGGGTCCTTGGGTTGTAGATGCATGGTTTGTCAGGCCGGGGGGTTCACCATGTGTTGTGTCCGGTTCTGGTCCTCCGCCGTTATCTACGCGCCACGGCATCTGTGTCCGGGGACACACTTTGGTTGATCTGGTTTCCCTTCTTCCCTGTTCGCGGGTTCGGGTCTCTCAGGTCATCCGCAGGGTTATTAAATCCAGCCAGCCTGCGGTCTATCCCCATGCCCTTGACGTTCGTAAGTTCGCTGCTCTTGCTGCCGTCTTCAGCAATATGTCTTGGGCTGACATTCGGGCACGGGGATTTTGGCGGTCGAACAGGGTCCTGGCTGCACGCTACCTTGTTAACGTTCCTGGGCCCAGTCGGGCCTGTGTTGCTTTAGGTCGGCGGTTGCAGTCCGTTGTCTCGGCTTCGTGTTGCAACCCGTTCTCGCACTTTCGTATAGTCAATATTGACTTATTAAATACGTGCATATGTGACATACTAAACATACTAGTTTACCTTGAAAAGCTTCATAGAAAACACCGACCTTACCTAACCTTCTTAGTATGTTAAGATAAGCATCTTATTGCTTCGTAATTACAATTATTACTTAAACCAATCAAGATAATCTGATTGTTGAATTTCACGCTCTAATGACCTCACATTATTAGTCAACTGCCCTATAATCTGATGACCTGACCTATACCTATAATAGGTTATTATAATTACAATTATAATATCTCCCTTCCCCCTCCTCTCCAGGAGGGGGAAGGGGGAGCTGCGCAGACATGCGGCACGGCTCGTGTGATGTCATGCTTGTGACGTCTCCTTTTTCTTTTGGGGAGTTCTGTCCACTCGTTTGTCAAATTTTGTTGTTAACCAGAATAGGGGTTTGTTTTGTGGCGCTTACCTTTTTGGGTGCCTGTCCCGGTCGATGGCAGATATAGAATGCCCCAAATCACATGTGCATTTCTATGGGCCATTGCTCCCCGTGCCTCTGTGAGGGGGCCAGGTTCTGGCTCGTGGTCCCTGGTAGGCTAGAACTCCACCCACATCGACTGATGCAAAATAGTTAGGATATCCATATCAGCCATGGATAGCTCCGGGGAGCCTCCGGGACTCACCCAGACTCACCTAGAAAATGGCGTTTCATTAGATTCAACGCTGGTTTTTTACCATGTGGGGTTTGTTTTGTCATGCCTACCTTTCTGGGTGCCTTACCCCAGTCGATGGCAGATAAGGAAAACCCCAACCACAAGGGGGTTTTCCAGTGCCATTGCTCCCTGAAACCTCTCTGAAGGGGCCAGGTTCTGGCGCTGGTCCCTGGTAGGTCTGAACTCCTTAGCTACTGTCATGGTCTAATATAACATACATTAGCCCGATAAGCTCCAGGGAGCCTCCGGGGTCTCACCCAGAAAATGGCCTTTCATTACATTCAACGCTGTTTTTTTCCCCTGCACCTTCGTGTGGTTCTGTCATGGTACCTGGTAGGCTGAATAGATCTCAACAGCTAAAGCTATTTAGTAGTTTGGAGCCGTTTCAGTGAGATAGCTTCAGGGAGCCATTGACACTCGCCTTTATTTAGCGTTGAAATTATATATATATATTTTTTTTTTACTTTTAACGAATTTTACACACTTTTAAATTATTCCACTCTATTTGTGCCTCATAATATGTTCCTTTACTTTAAAAGGGATCTCTGATGACACACCATGCCATATTGGTCAAGTTTATTTATTCTTCTCTATAAAGAAAATAATATGGAAATAATTTTGCAGCTGTCATGTTTGAGGAGGGCATCTTGTTAGGTGCAGAAACAGACACATCCTTATTGGTATGTGATGCTGCATCTCAGCATCAACCACTCACTGTTGTCGAACGAACTGTAAGTATATTTCAACATTATCAAAGTTTGCATTGTAATGTTTGTTTAGTGCTCTTAAGAAAGCAAATCGTTTAAGATTTGTAATAACTTTTTGTCCTGTAATGGATTCATCATTTTTTAACTGTTCAGTATTATCAAATAGGGAATTCAAACAGTTACATATTGAAACAATTTTGATTGAAGTGAATATAGGTAATGGTAGCTAATGAGTAGTACTTTTTATTTCTGAAAGAAATGTCTGAGCATGCTATCATGAGTGCCTTTTTACCATCTGTATTACGAATGTTTTCTCCAAAGAAGCAAGATTTGTATGTGGAGATTTATATATGCAAAACTTTCCTTGTCTGAATAGAAAGAAATCGTATCTTGCTTCTTTGGACAAAACATTCGTAATACAGATGGTAAAAGGGCACTCATGATAGCATGCTCAGACATTTCTTTCAGAAATAAAAAGTAATCCACACCCAGATATGTGAACACTGATATGTACAGCCACATGAATGTATATTGGTAGAGGGAAAAGCTGACAAGTGTACGAGTGCAGATATAGGCACAATTACACTACTGTACCAATACAAAGCCAAAATAGTACCATGAAGACTCGGGGAAACAAATGAACAACTAACAAATACCTATCATTGAATGCCATGAAATGCCTCTTTCTGGTAGAGCCCTGTTGGCTCCCTGTAGCTCTATCTCACTGAGATTGCTCCAAGCTACCAGTCACATGAGTTGCACGAGTTCATTTGGCCTACCAGGGACCAGAGCCAAATTCTGATTCCCTTTCACAAGAGCCACAAAGAGCAAATGACATTCTGCCATTTCAATGGGAAAGCACCCAAAAAGTCAGTCAAACTTTACTGACAACTGCAGGGTTCATAAGCCTCAAAAAACTAAAATGCCAAATAACTCTCCAAGCAATAAAAAATAACCAAAGAAAACAAAACAAGCTAGAACCCAATAGTACCAAATGCTGCCACCAGACTGCCCGGTGTTCGGTCCAGCGTCAGCCCACAGATCAGTTCAGGAGCAAATAGTACCACAACAAAACGACCAGCATAGAAGGGAGGGAGGGAGGGAGACAGGGAGCTACTGGGGCTCTACCAGAAAGAGGTGTTCCATTATATTCAATGCTGGGTTTCTGGGCATCATACAACTGCTGCATATTCCACTTTTGGTCTCACAAAAGTCATGAACAGTTTCTTCAATATTTCACCATCCATGTAATTAAAAGTGATAATGAAGTTGGAAAGCGATGCATGTGCTCCTAGCACAATGTTGTTTGTGTTCCTCTGGTGGCAGTCTACTATTCTCCTTATCACAGTTGTTAGACCATTATAATAGTCTTGGATGCCATGACGACAAACAAAACACCGATATAATAAGAATACAATTTAAAGGACTAATATTAACTAGTCATTTAATGAATTTAGAGAAAACATTGTATAGAAATACTTCTTAGGAATAATTGTACCAATATTTTTTAATGGCCTATTTTGACTATGCTGTATCTCTAACCTGCACTTCAGGGAGAAAATTATAGGGATTTTCAGCAGCTTCAATAATTTAGACATTCAATTAATGAATCCAGAGAGTAAAAGTTAAAAAGTTGCTTCAGGTCTGCAACTTCTCCAGCTTTGAATAGGGCAGTTAATGTACAACAATATTTCACTCATGATAGAAAAGTACCATCCATGGTTTGGCATCTTTTATGAAACATTCTTGTTATCCAGCCTAACATTTTTCTTACAGTTGAGAGGTACTCTATTCTGTTCATAAAAAGTAAGGACGTCTGACATTTTAGCTATCAGGGCTGTTTTAGCTATACTTTATATTTTTGTTTTATATTGCAGTTGAAGTGCATTTTGTACGTGGTTTTGGTTTTGATTTCCTCACTTTGACTATAGTGCAGGGGTTGAAACATACATGTTTATTAAACATAATCAAATTCCTAGCATTACCTATAAAGAATGATGTGCTAATAAAGTGTCCGGAACTATTTTGTAAACAAAATTGAGAAAGATTACTGGAGCAAGTACAGTGCCCTGGAAGGCCGAGCTTTTCATAGTGGATAATTCAAATTTAATTCATCGATTATTACTCTGTGGGTTCTGCTTAAATAGAAATCAAAAGATCCATTGTCCTATTTGGTCTTGAACTTGTCACAGTTTGTGTCCTACTACAACTTGCTTATATTGGTTGAAAGTTTTTTCACAAAATCAGTAAAAATATCATTGTCAGACATTCATGTTGTTGTTTTGACTTAGTCGTAGATAAATAATTCACTGTGAACTTGTGTATACTAACCCAACTATAAATTTACTAAACAGACACTTATGAATAAAGTTATTGAATTGAGTAAACATTTAAGTGCAATATTTAAATGAGTATAAGAGGGAACTTGAACACCTTCCAATTGTACCTTATCAACCGGGCTGCGAGTTCTGGCTGGGCTAGGCTGTGAGTGAGTGAGTTAATTGTGTACTGTAATTGTGTACTAGTCTGGTGAGCTAGATGGTCTACTGTGAGGCTGTCAGAGATCGGGCCATTGGGATGTTGATCCCAAGTACCGTATGTTGGTAGCTCTTATATGTCACAATAAACAAATTGGATTTTCTGTTCATGACCTTATTTCTAAACAATTTGCTGGGTAGTCTTGGTTGAGTTAAGAGTATTGGAAGAATTTGTTGAAATTTTGTAAAATATATATTGTACTGTTCTCATTTGTAACTTTTTTTTAGTCTCCTTTGGTAACAGTATGGAAACCAATTGTTTATTTTTTTGCTGGAAATATTGATATTATTAATATCAAAAGAATGGTCATGTTAAATTGTTCCAAATTATTGTACACAGTGCAGTATGTATTTGTAGTGCTGTTAGTACTTTTTTGGTAGACATAATCAGTGTTCTTTCAAATGCTCTTTGTGCTTTTATCTTTGCAGAGTCAGGTCTACCTCCATCATATATTACGTCAGTTGTTAAGAAGAAATCTTGGCTACCATGCCTGGGAGATTGCCAGTACTTGCAGAGATTTACCGTACTTTCCTCATGCACTTGAACTCCTGTTGCATCAGGTCAGATTGGAAAACAAAAATATCTGTTAATCTTTAGTGTTTAAATAAGGTAGTATGGAAAATGAAATTTCTTTATTAAACTCTGTATGTTTCAACTATGATAAAACGTGGTAGCAGTTCAGTTAACTTTATCACCCAAGAAATCCCTTACATGGCAGAAACTTCATGATGATATTGTTCTACCATTAACAGTTGAGCTGCAATGATCAGCATTATTCATCAGATTCATAACAATTTGTATGTCATTTTGATATATTTATTTAAGTCAACTTATTTATGTACTATAAATATAATTAAGCTTTCTATTGAAAATGAGTCGTGCAGCATCCCCAGTTGCCACCATTGAAGTAAATAATTATTGTTGAGGGAATTGTTGCCTCTGCATGATTTAGTCCTCTAGGCTAATGTATTAGTTTCACCTATAGGTTTACTCAATTTTTTTTATTGAAATTAATACGTGAATGATTTTACAGGTTCTTGAGGAGGAAGCATCCAGCAAAGATCCACTACCAGACTGTTTACTTCCAAGAGTTGTGGAATTTATCAAAGAATTTCCAGTGTACCTACAGACAGTAGTACAGTGTGCCCGTAAGACAGAACTAGCACTATGGCGATATCTCTTTTCTATTGCAGGCAGCCCTAAGCATCTTTTTATCAAAGCTCTTGAAGAATCACAACTGGACACTGCAGCATCCTACCTTATAATTTTACAGGTAAAATGTAAAATACATGTGTTAACCCTTAAACTGTGCCACACATCAATAGCTGTGGTGAGTAACTGTCGCAGAATTACGCACCACAGCTGTTGATGTGATTGAGTACCGCCCAAAATGTAAAAGTCCTGCGGCTCGGCAGGGTTCACATCAGCTTCCTCAGGGCTCTTGTAAATAAATGCATTTTTTTTTTAAATCGTGGGGCAACATTCCTGGGTTTGAGCCTCAGTACTGAGTGAGCAACCAAGGCTGGTGCATGCAGCATGGGCTCACAGCACTGCTGTTCAGCTTGTGACCACAGCATCACCAAAAAAATGTCAAAATATATGTAACTGGTATTATTTAGCGATGATAGTATTACAGAAGACCCCTGACTGTGATGAAAATTACCAGGATTCTGATAATAGCAGGATTGTTGTAATAATTAGCTCTGTACAGAGTATGGTGGGAACAGTAATGCGAAGGGAGGGGAGGGAGGGAGATAACTTCGTCTGCTGACTGTGTGTGGCCACCTGTTATTGTCAAGAATCACCATACAAGCTTAGTGGTTCGTGGTTCTCTATGGTGAACGCAAATGTAGATACTAATATATAACGTGAGCATATAGTGTAGTAACAGCACAAACAATTTTGTGGGAGGAAGAATCTTAGTGAAGGAGGGAGGCAGCATTAGCTGTGTGTTGCGACCTCTGTTGCTGTCTGAACTCACCATACCAGCTTAGTTGTACAGCTTTGGTGAACAAAACATGTAGATACTTATATATAATATCTGTATACACTATATTGAAAAAACAAAAAAGTATGGTGGGAGGAGGAGTGTTGGCGAGTGAGGTGAGGGAGGGCAGGAGGTGACATTTGCTGACTGGTGTGTACTCACCAAGTTGTGCTAGCATGGGTTGAGCTCTGGCTCTTTGGTCCCGCCTCTGAACTGTCAATCAACTGGTGTACAGATTCCTGAGACTACTGGGCTTTATCAAATCTACATTTGAAACAGTGTATGGAGTCAGCCTCCACCACATCACTACTTAATGCATTCCATTTGTTAACTACTCTGACACTGAAAAAATTCTATCTAATGTCTCAGTGGTTCATTTGAGTACTAAGTTTCCACCTGTGTCCCGTTGTTCGTGTTCCACCCATGCTAAAGAGTTTGTCTTTGTCCGCCCTGTCAATTCCCCTGAGTATTTTGTAGGTGGTTATCATGTCTCTCCCTTACCCTTCTGTTTTCGAGGGATGTGAGGTTCAGCTCCCTTAGCCTTTCCTCGTAGCTCATACATCTCAGTTCTGGGACTAGTCTGGTGTCATACCTCTGAATCTTCTCCAACTTTGTCCTGTGTTTAACTAGGTATGGACTCCAGGCTGGAGCTGCATACTCCAAGATTATATAATTGGTGTAGTGGTATACAAGGTCCTGAACGATTCCTTACACAAGTTTCTAAAGGCACTTCTTATGTTGACCAGTCTAGCATATGCCGCTGATGATATCCTTTTGATGTGGGTCTCTGGGGACAGGTTCGGTATGATATCAATCCCCAGATCTTTCTCTCTATTTGACTCTTGCAGGATATCACCTCCCAGATAGTATATTGTGTTCAGCCTTCTGCTCCTTTTGCCTAAATTCATTACTTTACACTTTCCTGAGTTGAACTTTAGCAGTCATTTTCTTGAGCATTCCACCAGTTTGTCGAGGTCATCTTGTAGTATCTGTATCTTCATCTTTCTTGACTCTTCTCATAGTTTTTGCATCATCAGCAAACATTTAGAGGAATGGGTCTATACCCTCTGGAAGGTTATTTACTTATATTAGAAACAGGATGGGTCCAAGTAAAAGGCCCTGTGGAATCCCACTGGTGACATCTCACCACTTTGATATCTCCCAAATCCGAATATATACAGGATAAGACACCACGAAGGGCGAGCTTGGAAGTGGGGACAGAAGAAGATAAAGGGGGGTGAGAGGAAGTAAGATATCTTCCAATGTTTCCTGTTGCTTATATACTCCCTTATTCACTGGAACACCTTACCTTTTACTCTTGCCTGTTGCTCCAACTTTTGTAACAGCCTTTTGTGAGATATTGTGTCAAATGCTTTCTGACAGTCCAAGAAAATGCAGTTTGCCCACCCGTCTCTCTCTTGCCTAATTTGTGTTGCTTTGTCATAGAATTCTTTTAAACCTGTGAGGCACGGGTTACCATCTCTGAACCTATGCTGGTGGTGTGTTACAACGCTATTTCCCTCCAAATGCTCTATGAGCCTTTTTCTCACAATCATCTCCACCACCTTGCAAGGTATACAAGTTAGGGAAACTGGCCTGTAGCTCAATGCCTCTTGCCTGTCACTCTTTTTGTATATTGGGACTACATTAGCTTTCTTCCAGCTTTCCGGTAGGTCTTCTGTTTCCAGTGACCTGTTATTCACAATAGAGAGTGGCACACTTAGTGCCTCTGCACCTTCTTTTAGTATCCACAGTGAAATTCAGTCGGGCCCAATAGCCTGTGTCACATTCAGCTCCAACAGATTTATTTTGACCTCATCACTGGTGAGGGCAAATTCCTCCAAGGTTACTTGGTTTGCCTCCTCATTTAGTGCAGGGACTTCTCCCTGTTCTATTGTGAAGACCTCCTGGAATCTCTTGTTGAGTTCTTTACACACCTTGTCATTCCCTTTGTATCTGTTTTCCCCTTTTCTCAGTTTCATCACTTGTTTCTTCACTGCTGTTTTCCTCTTGATGTGGCTGTGGAGCAGTTTTAGTTGGATGTTAGCTTTACTCGTGATGTTATTTTCATACTATGTCTCTGCTTCTCTTCTCACTCTGAGGTATTCATTTCTTGCACTCTGGTATCTCTCCCTGCTCTCTGGTGTTCTGTTATTCCTGTAGTTTCTCCATGTTCTTTTACTCAATTGCTTCGCTATCGTACATTCCTGATTGAACCTTGAATTTGTCTGTTGCTTTCCATTTTTCTCATTTTGGGCCGGGATAAACCTGTCTGCAGTTTCCTGGCACTTCTGGGTGACATAATCCATCTTATCCTATACAGTCTTTTCTCTGAGTTCTGTTTTCCCATGGTATTCCCATTTGGAAGTTCCTCATCTTGTCATATTTTCCTCTTTGGTAATTTACTTCAGTAATGTGGCTGTGTTTAGCTGTGGCTAAAGCCTCTCGTTAGGCAGCAGCCATTCGTTATTGGTATGACACCATACCAACTTAGTGGTTCGTTGTGGTGAACAAAACATGCAGATTCTTATATATAACCTATACAGTATAGTGTAATAACAGCAAAACTATTTGTTTATTGTTTTATGAACATACTAATTGAATCACTAATATGCACACTATAATTTTGAGTATAGCGATGATTCACAGATTTTATTATATAAATATATCACTACACAATATTGAATAATATTACTGCAAAAAAAACTAAGGACAAAACAATCAGACACATTGAAATAATTACGTAACAATAACTTTGTGGCAACTTCCGCCTGACATTTCTGGCAAAGCTGACCTGCCTCTGACAATTGCTCTGTCAATGCCTCAGTTTTGAAAGACTTCCTCGCCTTATTGCAGCCAAAATAGGTCACCTACAATTTTTATTCCCCGTGATCCGGGAACACAAATGAACACTTTTATAAGAGGAATTTTTCTGTGGGGAGCCCCTACAGCTCCCTGGAGCTTATCAAGCTAATGTATGTTATATTAGACCGGGACATTAGCTAAGGAGTTCAGACCTACCAGGGACCAGCGCCAGAACCTGGCCCCTTCAGAGAGGTTTCAGGGAGCAATGGCCCTGGAAAACCCTCTTGTGGTTGGGGTTTTCCTTATCTGCCATCAACCGGGGTTAGGCACCCAGAAAGGTAGGTATAACAAAACAAACCCCACATGGTAAGAAACTAAAACAAAAACAAAACAGAGAGGTAAAAACTCCCTACAATCCCAAGCAAACAAGCAAACATCACACTTTACTGCCACACTTTACTGGTTTGGGCTCCCAGCCAGTCCGCGTGTCTGCTCGCCAGGGATTTGGTTCTTTCCCAGCTCGCTGTGTTCTATTTTGATGGCAGACATAGAATGCTTCCATCCACACGGGGGTTTCTATAGGCTTCCATTGCTCCTCATGCCTCTCTGAAGGGGCCAGGTTCTGGCTCGTGGTCCCTGGTAGGCCTAGAACTCCATGCACATTGACTGATGCCTAGGTCTAATACCAGACCCAGATATATCATATATATATCAGTCAGACCCATATATATATATATATATATATATATATATATATATATATATATATATATATATATATATATATATATATATTAGTATATTTTGGTAGCAGTCTTTCCTGTAGACATATATTATTAAATATGACCGAAAAAGTAAGATTAATAATTCTAACACGAATTTTCTCAATCTTTCGTACATTACGCTTCACTGTTGGAGGTAAATCAAAAATCACTTCTCCAAAATTCATTTTTATTTCTAGTCTGACGCGACACGGGCGCGTTTCGTAAAACTTATTACATTTTCAAAGACTTCACAAATACACAACTGATTAGAACTTGCGTTTCTCTGATTTTATATCTACATTTGAGTGAGGTGGGAAGGGTGATGTGGCATTAACACAAGACAGAACAATAGGGGATATTAATAGGGTATTAAAAGTATCAACACAAGACAGAACAGAAACAATGGGTATTGAATAGAAGTGTTTGTAGAAAGCCTATTGGTCCATATTTCTTGATGCTTCTATATTGGAGTGGAGTCTTGAGGTGGGTAGAATATAGTTGTGCAATAATTGGCTGTTGATTGCTGGTGTTGACTTCTTGATGTGCAGTGCCTCGCAAACGTCAAGCCGCCTGCTATCGCTGTATCTATCGATGATTTCTGTGTTGTTTACTAGGATTTCTCTGGCGATGGTTTGGTTATGGGAAGAGATTATATGTTCCTTAATGGAGCCCTGTTGCTTATGCATCGTTAAACGCCTAGAAAGAGATGTTGTTGTC